CTCACTAGTGGTGGGTGGGTGGGTGGGTGGGTGTGTGTCTGTCCGTGTGTGTGTGCATGTATGAGAGTGAGAGAGAAATGGAGAGAGAACGGAGGGAAGGAGAGCATGTGAGGGAAGGGGGTTGTGAAAAAACCTTCCAAGTGCATGAGATAGGCACTGCAAATACCATATGAATTTTGTGGAGATCGCATCAGTGATGACACTTGTTACTAAAGAGCAAAGTCATTCAGTCTTCCAGTCAAAAGAAAACAAGAAAGAAATTGCGAGCCGTACCGTGATCTTGCTTGCCGTCATGTTCTAAAGCAAGAAAATACTACTGGTAATAAAGCTACAAATATATGTTAAAAATGAAATGAAAATCAATTACATAATTAAAAAAAAAAAAACCCCAAACCTTTTCTTCCTGAGATTTTGGGGTTGATGCTTGAAGACTAAGGCATGTGTCTAAATTTCATATCAGTAAACTAACCCCCTTGAAATGCTGAGCGTTGGAATTTCTCCGCAGGCCTCCGTGTTGCCAGCCACTGGTGATACTCCAACCACCAGGATTTAAGGGGTTACGCCAAATGTCTCCTACTGTAGCTGTGCATTTTTAGGGATGCTCAGCGTTTTTTTGTTGTTCTTGTTGTTTTTATTGCCTCTGGGACAGACAGAGCCATAGTATTGCCGGAGCATCACTGTGCTGTTCCACCCCGTCAGCCTGTTCTCTCACACTGTGATCCTCCCTTCCCCTGCAAAACCGCTTTGTCCTACTTTCATTAGACAAGGAAGATGTGGGCCTCAAATCCCTATCATAGCTAATATATATGTCTCTCTCTCTCCCTCTCTCTCTGACTTCCCCACATTTCTAGAGACTGAAATCCAACTGCCCAGAACTCAAAGGAAGAAAAAACGTTGTTGAATAATGTTCTTGCAAATAGAATAAGAAAAAAATGGTTGAGGTATATGTGATTTTATTTTAATTTTTTTTTCAACTAGGGATGTTTGGACCAGTTTTGAAACAAAATTACTCCAGATAAATAAAATATCAGAACCAGTGATTCATTTAAAACTCTACCCAGGTGCATCCTATTTAGTTGAAACCAGTTCACACATCCCTTAATTTTTATTATATTATAATTATAATAATAATAATTATTATTATTTTGGGTATTTTGGTTTTTTGTTGTTTGTTGGTTTTTTGTTTTTTTTTGGTTTGGTTTGGTTTTTTTGCAACTCTCCACACTAAACTGCGCAATATTGTGGGGGAGAAGCCATTACTAAACTATATGCTGCAGAACAATGTAGCAAGTAATCAATTCCCAGCAGCCTGCCGGGACATCTGCTAGCAATAATCACTATTGATTTAAAGCTTTATTTAGCCTTTATCTATATCCTAGTAGAGTATAAGGTCTTGCCACATTTTAATGACATTTTTATTAGTTGAGTTTGACTGAGAATTGTTGTTGTTGTTGTTGTTTTTCCCCCCAATATTAAACTGTGAAATTTATAACATGTTTAAACTATGGGTGAATCTTATGCTTAGTTTGCATGTTCAGCTAATTTGTCTCTATACATTTTTTTTTGGTTTAGATCTTTTTATTTTCCTCTCTCAGGGCTTTTACAAAAATGGATCTTCTGAAATTCTTGTCTGAGTTGCAATGGACTTAACATTTGAGAAAGTTCAATCACTACATTAAGCACTTGACTGTGAAAGAGCAAAAAGAAAAAGGAAAAAAAAATCTGGGTTTGTGGCTATTCTGAAGTAGCTTTTGGGGCTATGGGACAGTCTGATTCCATTTTCAGAACGATTCATAATCTTCTCTCTCCTTCTGTGTATGTCTCTTTTCTCTACCCCTCTCTATTCAAGAAGGAAGTTTAATTCTAGTGATTTCAGCCCATGCAGGAAACAATAATAAATGTGTAGAATTCATATTTTTCTAAAGGGAACTTAAACTGCTGCTACAAGTTGTGTACAAGACTGGTTTATGCCACATGAACAGAGAATCACACATTTGTTTTTGGTACTTTTATTCCTCTTTTTATTCAGTTGTACAGTACTTCCAAATTCAAAATAAAAGTAAAGCTGTTCTGTATCAAACCATCTAAGCAATAAAATGTTATATTTAAAAATTATAGGTTGCAAAATGGACATGGCTCTTCTTGTGCGTTTCTTGTAACTTGCTTTGAAACCATAGCTTGAGGGATAATGCATAAAGCAGCTTGACATGGTCAGAGGGTTTTACTGTTTCTGTTGGCCTGAGCTTGAATTAGTGGGCCAAAAACTTGTGAAAACTTTGTTCTCTTTGTGAGCAGGCTAACCAGAGTCTTAGGAAGCAGTGGATTTGGGGTTTGAAATTTCAGCTACAAGATGGGAGAAATGCGTAAGCGAAGGTCTTTACCAGCTTTAGTTTGAAGTTCTCTGTCCATTTTAAGCAGCAAACTCATGGTCACACAAGACATGGCCTTCTCAAGGTATTGTGCTATATGAAGAAGTATTGATAGCTTTCTTTAAGTGGATTAGGTGTGCTCTGGCAGTTGCAATCATGGCTGAGTTGTCCAGGGAATTTTGTGTAGCTGTGAAATGTTCTGGATGAAATCACATTCTATTGGCAAATGTCTAGGTGCATAGTACTGTATTTAAGCTTGTCAGTTTAACATGGTCTTGCAATTTGCATTTTATTTGCTTCCTTGAAGAATGCCTCCCACAAAACAGTGACAGGCAGACAGCCGTGTGGGCTGAGCGTTGGCTTCTCGATGGCAGGAACTGAGAGGAGCTGGGGAATCTCCTTCCTTTCAGCTCTTCTCCCTGGAGGTGATTGTACCTCTACTAGAACAGTGAACCAAATTAAGAGATGAGGCTCAAGGGAGCCTGAGCTGCTTCAGTGCACACAATCTTTCAGTCTTTCACACGCATATATTATAGACTATAGCATGTCATTTATATTTCTTTGTCACATTTTGAATTTGGCCTAGTTGCGTCCCTCAGCCAGACATTTCCTTGTTCCAGCTGTGCAGCAGCCAAACAGTACCTGCTGTTAATCGACAGAGCTGTCTACTAATACCAACTTACTTTATTCCTGCTCACCACCAGATTGCTGCTATTGCAGTTGTTTCCCAAGACCATTGGCAAGGTTAGCAACAGGTTGGGAGAAGAGTAGGGTTTATTGGTGTAACCTTCACTTGCCAGAGTTGCTGCTACTTCACTGCTCTGCTCCCTGAGGTGCATGCTTTAAATGTTGAATGAAGCCTTGTGTAGACTAGTTTGCCTCTGCTGACATGTTTAATCAAACCTCCCACAGAGCCCCCATTTCCAGAATAGATGAGCAGGACCCCTTAGTCACAGAGGACCAAGTGTTTTTGTGCATCAGGTTTGCAGAGGACTGAATCTCCACATCCACAGAACAGGGAGCTGTACAGAGGGTTAGGAAGGAACAAGCATCCTCCTCCTCTGGTGTTATAGGCCTAAGTCCAACGTGTATCAAGGGGAGCCGTACTTCAAGGTACAGGAGTGTCCATCACAGAATGAAAAAGAGTTGAGTGTCATGGCAGTCTGATAATAAAATGAGCACTCTAGAAATCCTGTAAGGATAAAGGGATAAAAGTATTTGTCACTACCTGCTTAGTCACATAATAGCCGATTTGAAGTTGTGCGTGTGGGTGGTACAGGGAGAGCAGTATGGTTGTGCAGAGGCTAAAGGTGAGGAAAAAAATGTTACACCAGTGACAGTACCATATATCTAAAACCAGAGGCCTTTTATGCTAAGGAGGAGAGAGGGTGAGAAACTAGATGGTCTCCTTATATATCTCAGTGGAAGCATAAATGATGGAAGAGTGCTCTGAAGAGCAGAAGGTTGGGAAGGAAAGGCAATAGGAACAAAGCTGGGGGGATGCCATCCCCACTCAAGAGGGTAGTTTTACTGCTCTAATTATATTTTTTGGCCATTATGGTAATGGGTTATGTCATTACCTGTGGCTGATGGTCTACAGGATAGTGCCTCTCAATAACATCTCTTCTAATCTTGCATTCTTACCTGGCATAGCTGGAAGGGAGTGAGGAGGGGGAAGGTGGAAAAGGTTAAGGGCATTGCATCCACTTAAAACTGAAGGAGCAATTGGAATTACATATATACCAAATGTATAAATTATTTAATAATGTATTTCATAATAACAAAGGTGGCTGCAGACAATGTAGCTGAGATTCTTTCTTCCCTTTATTTTTCTGTGACTCCTCTCCCTCTGCTCTTTCTGGTCTAGCTCAAGGAAAGGTTCCTATATGTTTGAGTCTGTTGCTTTCTCTTTCTGGGAAAAGGGAGAGGTGGGGGAAAACATGCTTTGTCT